AAAGGGGAGGGACACGCCACGCCAAAACAAGTCATCTTCCTTCCCCTAAAAACACCGGAAAAGGTTAGTTTTTCGTCCCTCAGAACCCAGCAGCCCAAGCAAGAGCCCAGGGAAGAGCGAGCCCAGGGGAAGGTAGGAAGGCGCAGGCAGGGCCGGAGAGGGCGCAGGAGGAAGCAGGAGGGCGAGGCGGCGCGTTTGCTGAGGCTGCTTGCAACCCGGCCATAATAGAAATTAATCATTTACTTACACCACTACATGTGACGGGGTAATTTCTAGTGTAAGGAACACATCTCTTCCTGCTAAGCACGTTCATTTTAGTGAAATGTCTGGGGTCACTCCGCGCGTACAAGTTAGGACGACGCCGGAGCCGCCGCGCTGCTGCTGGGCTGCAGGCTCCGGGTCCCGCTCGCGTTCGATCAGAAACTCTGACAGAGCAGCCCAGGCCGGACCGCGGGCCGCGAGCGGCCGCGCGCGCTGCACTGCAGCCACTGCTTCTTCCGGATCAGCATCTCCCTGCGCCCCGGGCGCCCAATGTCATGGAGGCGCGCGGAACCGGGCTGCGCGCGGCCGTTCCAAGCTGGGGCGGCCGGGCCGCTCAGCCACCGCCTGGGCTCGACTGCGGAGGCTGCTGACGGTGCGCTGGAGTGGAGGGAGCTGGGCGAGGCCGCCGCCGCCGCTACGCGCCGGGGCCCGCGGCTCGGGCGCTGCCGCTGAGACACCTAGCGCTGCAGTCCCGGGGACCGCTCGCGACCTCCTTTTTTCATTCACAAAAAAGGAAAGGAAAAAAAAAAAAAAAACGGGAAAAGCAAAAAAGGGAGAAGAGGGGGAGGAAAAAATCGCACCCAGGAACGGCTGCTGAGACAAGGACCGCCCACCGCGGCGCACAGTTGGTGGAAAGGGGGCGTGGGCGTGGAAGGGGCGTGGAAAGACAAGGATTGGGCGCTCAGGGGCTCCGCCTTGGCCCCGCCCCTCAGCGCCGGGCTCGCCTCCTGCCCCCTCTCCTCTCCCCAGGGTAGCCACGCGGGGGTCTCGGCTCACCACTGGATGTGGGCTGGGTCTCTCCACCTCACTGGACTCCCACAGGGTTTTCTTCCCCCGCACCCCACCCCCTCACCCCCACCCTGGAAACGTCTTAGATCTCCCTGAGGGAATTAGAGTGTAATGCGAGCGTTTTCCTTGTCGTTCCCCTTAAACCCAAGACTTCACCACTTGCCCACTGGGGGACAATTTCGTTTCCAAACAAGTTCTGTGCTGAGCTTTCCCGGCACTTGAGGGCCTTCCTCTCTCCACCATCACTGCTGTAGCCTGTGCCTCTGATGGCTGTGGCCCATAGTGAGTTTCTGGGTTGGGTACCTCTTCACCAGTCCTCCACCTAGTCCTTCTTCACCAGTCTCCATCTGACCCTTTTGCGATCACAAGTATCTTCTGACTTCCAAAAAATGCCAGCAAAACAAGTATCTTCCGACCTCCAAAAAATGCCAGAAATAGTGCCTAAGTTGACTTTCGGTTGATTTACTTCTCTGTAAAAATAGAGTGATTCTAACAACATCTATCATGAGTGACTGATCATCAGAAAGAAGCCTCCATACTCAAGGCTGGTTTTGTTATGATGATCTTGCTGCAAGTAACTACAGAAGTCAACTCTTGTCATTTGCCTCTGGATAGATTTTTAAAGCCCAGACTGGCATGCCTCCCGCCTCATCCCCCTCCATCATACTTCAATTTGTGCTCTTGAGAGTGCAAACCTACTTTAATATTAGTTTATACAAACTATGGTTAGGAAGAGAAATTTACTGCCAAAAAGAAATGAAGTTTGTATTGTCTGAAGCCTGCTTCTCATCTGTTAATGCATATAATCAGAAGGTACCCATGAAGGTGTTCATGACATATTTACTCTAGCCTGTTCATTGTACAGCAGGTACTCATTTGCTGAATTCCCCGTCCTTAATCTACTCAGAACTGAAGAAAAGGTTGACAGTGACTGAGAGTACTACTTCATACTTTTGGTTAGGACTCACCCTCCGTAAATCAAAAAATATTACTTCTAATCCATGTCTATGAAAGAAACTAGATGGTGCTCAGTTATGTTCTTCCCCACACATTTGGGATGGAAAAGTTTCTCCTCTTTCTCTATGTGCCAAAGAGTGATCACCCCAAAGAAAAGCCCAGTATGAGATTGCTCAGGGTTTCCACAGCATCCTGGGTCTCCCACTTTTACTATGTTCCCTGTTCTCAGCTCCAGAGAGCTACCTGGGCACTACCTGGACCCTCAACTCCATCCTTCCTACTGTTCAAGACAACCTTACAGCAGATCCAGGGTCAAGGATCTGTTACCATGCTCTCATTGTCTTTACCCATCCCTTCAATGCCAGACTCTGGGAAACAGGGCCACGACCTAAGGCTGGTTTCCTCACCAGCATGCAAGGAGTGGCCCACTCCATGCCCCTTCCTGTCCCCGGCTCTCATCAGTAGCCATCATAGCGCAGGTAGCCAGCCTCTCACCTGGGCCTGCCACCTCAGCCCTGAGAGTCTGCTTTTCTTTCTGCAGGTTACTTCTCAAGGCAGGCTTGGGTGGGAATTTTCCCAAGTAAGGTTCCTGGACATTCATATTCTCTCTATCTCTCTGCCTCTCCTGCTCTTCTCTCTCTCTCT